ATATGACCCTGCGAACAACTCCCCAAAGCTGGTGCTAGGAGTCCAACGGTTCACCTAAATAAAGGGCTCTTATACTTAAACAGATACAGAGTAGGTGTCCTCCCATACCATAAATCAGGAAGAGAAGGTACGACCTGTCATGACCTTAGGATGTGTGTGTATGCCAGAGCACTTTGGAACGCACACAGTCTTTGCAGATGAGACATTCTATCAATATTCAATCGATTATATACCTCTAAACATTATTGATGCTATGTTTCGAAGTACAAATGACAATCATAAAATATCACTCCAACAACTAACATGATCAATAATTAATAATTCGTTTTTATTTAATCCAATAAAAAGTAAATAAGAAAATAAAAATGAAAATAATGAGAAGGACTTGTTAATATTGTCTTGATGATGTGAATGAGCTGATGCTGAGTGAGTATTTGTCACTGTGTAGTACACGCCTGCTTCCTCACTTTAGCAGCAGTAGTACGATCCAGTGCAATTCCAGCTGCCACACCCAGTCCAGCTCCAACCAGCACTCCTACTGGACAAGCTGCAGCTCCCACAATAGCTCCAATAGCAAGCTCGGTCGCAATCGCAGTACTGACTCCAGCAGCAGCTCCAGCACCGAGTCCAGCAGCAGCTCCAGCAACAACACCAACCCAGCTGCCCTGGATAAACTTGTTTTTTCTCTCTGCTTCATATCTTGCTTCAGTGGCCATCAGCCCAGGGTTTTTCTTCTGAAGTTGTTCCATCTCTTTGGTTATAGCGCTCTCTGCCTTTTCAAACATCTTGTTGGTGTAGTAGCTTCCTCCATTTCTCTGAACCATTAGTCTGATCTTCTCCAGCAGCTCTCTGACCTGAGCAGGATCTCTGCTATTGTTGTTGTTAAAAACATGATATCCTCCTCCACACTGACGGACGAATTCACGAAGAGCTGGAGTCTTAGTGATGAATTCTTCTATGGAGACATTCAGATCAACATGTGTGAACAACACCATGGTGTAACAAACGGCTTCATCTCCAAACACCTCCTGAAGGATTCTCAGGGTTTTTTGTTCTTCGTCTATAAATATGTTTGGCTGGATCACAACCAGGAACACATGAGGACCAGGAGCAGCCAGTGAGATGCATCTATTGATCTCCGTGTTCACCTGGCCTAAGGTAAACACAGAGTGAAACAGGCCTGGAGTATCAACAACAGCCAGGGTTTGATAATCAAACAGAGCTGCTTCCTGCTGACACTCTGACGTCACTGAGGCAGGGGATGAAGCTGATGCTGTTTTAAAGGCTTTTCCTCCCAGGATGGTGTTTCCCGATGAACTCTTCCCAGCTCCAGTTTTCCCAACAACAACAATCCTGAAGTCTTTTTCAGCTTGTCTCATGGACTCCTTAGCCTCTTCGAACATCTCATTGGTGTAGCAGCTTCGTTCGTTTCCCTGAACCATAGTGCTGATCTTCCTCAGCAGCTCTCTGACCTGAGAGGGATTGTCATCATCTCGGTTGTTAAAAACATGATATCCTCCTCCACAATGATGGATGAAGTCTTGGAGAGCTAGATTTTCCCTGATGAATTGTTCTATGGTGACTCCATCATGCTCCAGGTTATCTCCACATGTGAACAAGGCCATGGTGTAGTCTGCTAAGTGTACTCCAAACATCTGCTGAAGGATTCTCACTGTTTCTCGTTGTTCGTCTGTAAATCTGTTCACACAGATCACAACCAGGAACACATGAGGACCAGGAGCAGCAAAGGAGATGATTCTCCTGATCTCTGTCTTCATTTCCTCTTCAGTTTTAACATTATCAAACAGACCGGGAGTATCGACCACAGCCAGTTTTTGACCTTCAAACTCTCCTGTTTCCTTCTGACACACTGAAGTTATCGAGCTTGAAGATGATCTAGATTCAAAAGCACCCTTTCTTCCTAAGATGGTGTTTCCTGATGCACTTTTTCCAGATCCAGTTTTTCCAACAAGCACCATCCTGAGCTCTGGTTTCTCTTTTGTATGCTTCTTTTGTGGTTCCCCTGACTCTGTTTAAAGAAATTAGAAAATTTTAACATCAGCGACTGTGTTAACATCAGCAAAACCAAATAAACAGTGTGAAAAAGTGTTTGAGCTGCTTCCTGATTTCAGATTTTTTTGTATGTTTGTCTCTGCATGAGAATCTTCTGCAGGTTTGTGCAGGATAAACAGGTTAGTTTGCTGCACTGTGTAGGGTTTAATGTAAAGAACAGTGTGTGACTGCTGCACAGTGGTTGTGGGTTCATGATCACAGTTAGCTTACATCAAGTGTAGCAGAGATTCATTGACTGAAATTCACCTTCATACCAACTTTATACCATCTAGAAATCAGACAGCATTAACAGTGCTCTGTCAGTGTAGAGGATGAAATCAACCAGGACAACTTATGAAACATTTTTTTTTACATCTGGTGTGTGCATGCACGAAGAGCAGCAGGTCAGCTGATCACAGCCTGTACACTAAGAACATCTACTCGAGTGCTCAATAGAAATTATTGAGTTTGATTCTTTTACCCACACTGAGACCTTACAGCTGATTTTAGGGTTCCTCCACCTGCCGAATCCACTTTAACCCTGTGCACATTATCCTGTTTAGACCAAAATTACTCCAAGAGTACCCCAATGACTCATCCAGGAGGACACAGAAGAACCCAGAACAACGTAAAAGACCTGCAGGGTTCACGTCTCAGCTAAGGTCATGATTCAGCAATGAGAAAGAAACTGGGCAAAAATGGCCTCCATGGCAGAGTTCAAGGAGAAAATCACTACAGACCAAAAGGAACATAAAGGCTCGTCTCAGTTTGGACAGAAAACATCTGGATGATCCCTGAGACATTTGGAGACAATGGCTGTATCCCAATTCAGGGTCTGCAGCCTTAAAGTACGCAGCCTCAACGGTCCTCAAGGGCCACGTACTTAAAGACCGCTAAGGCCGGAAGTGCAAGGCTTGTGAAATGGGACAGTCTAGCCTCCGCTGCCCAGGTTGCCTAGCAACCATGATACTAACAGCTGGAAACGTTTCATACAGCTTTGTTTGACAGAAATGAAGGAGAAAATCTTTTGTTCATTTGTTTGTTTGTTTCTACATGAGCTTTGATCATTCTCTGTAAGATTAA